ATAATTGACAAAAATATTTACAGGTTAACAAAAATAAAGAACATAAGAACAAAGGTAACTGCAGAAGGTTTATTGACCCATACGAGGCAGCTCCGATTTACAACCACCCAATCCCACTCATTTACATGTCCAAAAGATTATAATAATACACAATAATAACAAAACACTATAATGAACAAGGATTTAAAGGTACAATAGGATAAAATATCAGATAAAATATCACATTTTCACCAATGGATTAGTTGATCAAGAGAGAGGTTCCGCTGGGGCAGCAGTTTACACTACCAACCATAAAGCTTACTGGAGCATGAATAGTGGGTGCTCAACATTGCAAACAGAATTATATGCCCTGAAGGAAGCCATAAATTATACAATTGAGAATAATTTACATGATGTCATTATTCATACCGACTGTAAATCTTCGCTCCAGGCATTGTTATCCAGTCAACACAGAGATAATATACAACTCCTCACAGAAATCCTACATGTAGGAAACAAAAGCACATAATCTAGGGCTGTCGATCACCCTAAATGGATACTAAGTCACATTGGTATAGATGGTAATGAAAAGGCAGACTCACTAGCAAAAGCTGCCACTGCTCTACCTGTTGTACAGGTTAAAATACCTTCAAGTTTTTCACAGATTAAGGGAGAATATTAAGAAGAAAATACTCAGAACTATCAAAAGTAGCTACAGAGCCAAAGTAGCGGAAGGAAGATCCACTGCGATGTGGTACGAACAAGCCCCTGGTTACTCCTCTTTCAAGCCTGGCAAAAATATATCCAGAGACATTGCAGTAGCCGTACACAGACTCAGGCATGGTTATAAGTGCTGCTGGGAGGTAATAAACCCAATAGTTAAAGAGTGTCATATCTGTGGAACAGAAGCAGAGGCGCCACTATTGCACTACTTACTGGAATGTGAAGCTACTGAAGCCCTGCGCATCAAACTCAACATTAATCCAACGACAGCAGCTGAATTAGATGTAAAATCCACAGCGACTACAATGATTAGAAAAACAGTTGACGAATGGGACACACTAGTGGACATTCTGCATTTACATCCGCCACCAAGATAATGTTATTAAAACAAGACTAAAACCAGTGTGCTAAAACAGAAGTGAAAAACAAACAGGGGAAAAGGAGGAAACCCCACCTCCATTTAAAACTTTGACCCCAAATATCACAGTAACAAGGTTATTGCGAATAACAGAACTGAATTACGGGATCACCATAGCCCGTGCTACACGGACATTTCATTCTGGGTATCTAAATCTAAAGCAACAACAATATACTACAGGAATAACAGAATAACAGAGCAGCAAAGGGAAGATACTAAAGAACTAGGAATGAGTATTTCAGTGTGAGAAGAGAAGCAAAGAGACAGTGTAATAATAATGCATTTTGTTGGGCGACAGGCAGCCTGTGTATATATATACATATTAGATTTATTTCCAGATCCTGCTCCTCAAGGTCTTACTACTACTGACCCTCTCGCTCTCTCTTTGTAGGAGGCACCCCAACATCAAGCTGACAAACTCCTGGGGCCAGATTTACGAAGCAGATACGTAAGTACTTGCGAACGTGTACATCTTTCCTCAATCTTTGACGGCTTTGATTACATTTATTAAATAGTTTACAAGCATGAAAACTTCCCAATCAACGGTTGTTATTGTTATAAACAGCCTCCTGGTGCTTCGGAGCTCATTAACTGTTTAATAATTGTAAACAAAGCCGCCAAAGATTGAGAAAAGATGTGCAGGTTCGTAAGTGCTGGCGTAACTGCTTCGTGAATCTGGCCCCTGGATACCTATTTACTGTTCGGTGAATGGAGTTAGGATGAGGTATTAGGCGATAGGAAACGTGCCGAAGCCGTAAATGCCTAAATTGTGTTAAATAATAAAATCCAGCTGGAAAAACCTATCACGGTAAATAGGAGCTGCCTCGTATGGAACTGCTGCCTTCTGCAGTTACGTTAATTCTTATGTTCTTATAGGGTGAGGGAGAGGATTTTTGATAAGCCGCCGGCTTCCTGTCCTCGTCGAGGCCACTAAGTAAAGTGTCAGTGGCCCTCAGGTTCAGAGAATGCATACCAGGTGATTGACAGCCGAGGGGCTGTCGACTAAGGAGTCGAAGCTCAGTCCCCCAAGCACAACTAGGTGAGTCCAATGGAATTACCATTTGTCCTTGCGCCATCTATGTTTTGACAGCAGAACTACTAATTTACCCACGTTATTCGATGATCCAAATATGGGGGTTATGGTCAGTTGCTACTCTATATATGCTTCTGGACAACATAGGTGACCTGAGGAGGTTGCGGGCGGAGTGAAGTAGTAGCTGTTTAACCGGCGTTGGAAGATGTCCTGCCTGCCTTGTGGTCGACTAACGGGTAAGAAATGTGGCCGTTGAATTTGTTCTTGTGATAGTCATTTGGGCTAATACAGTTTTAGGTTGTTTAGTTGGCTTTTATGGAAGTTAATTGACGGGTATCCCTAGTGATGTAAAAGGGAAATTGTGTAGACCAAAGTAAATTGTTTACGTTCGAAGGTTTGAAACAGAAAAGCTCAGAGGGCTAGTGGCCTCGACGAGGACAGGAAGCCGGTGTCTTGCCAGGTTCCCCCCCCCTTTTTTTAAATCTAGTTCTAACGGTACGGCTTTGGCGGGTAGAAGGTTTGTTTTTATACCTGTGGATGAGGGGGGAATTATCAAAGTATAGTAGAATCGCATAATTTTACTACTGGGCGTTCATGGTTTAACAAACTTGCATAGTTGAGGCAGTTGATAGTTTGTGTACCTTGACTTCAGCGAAGCTTTTGATAGTGCCACATGAGATTGATATAATCACATTATTGGGAGTGCTGAATTAAGTTGTTTGATTAGGGCATGACTATACCTAAAAAATTGGTTAGCATGAATGGGGTTAAGTTTGGGGAGACAGTGGCAAGTAGTGACTAGCGGCTATGCTGGCATGTCATTCAGAATATAAGTTAAGGAGTGGGGGTTTGAGCAGTAATGGCTGAATTGCTAAATAAAACGTGGGGAAGTGGAGAAACTTGGCATCACTTAGACTATGAAAGTAGGATTTAGAAATGGTAAAGATTGCCAGATGTAATTTAGTTTTGACAAATTTCAGATCGTTACGTCGGGGATGTGATGCATCGATCCAGTACGTGCTAGAGGTAATGTTTATTTCATTATTTACAGTTAATTCTTGTATAACCATTAGCACGCATAGCGTTTTGGTAAAGTCCTTGAATGTAATATTCCCTGGAATACGACCCGCCAAATAGTTTAACAAGGTAACTATTTTATTTGGTAAAACAGATATCGGTTTGATTTGCGCCCAGTAAATAGTCTCCGGTGAGGCTACGAACCCAGGACAAAGCTCTCGCGAAACTCCAGACGAGCGTGTTTCCAGTATGGCACAGTGGTTATCTGGGTGGTTACATGGAGTGTAGAGTCGCCGTAGTTTTCCAGTCGCTGGTAGGTAAACGGGTGATTTTTGTACTTAGTGGCGGTGGTTGTGGTTTGTGTTAAGTCGCCACAAGTCACCCTGGGGAGTAACTTTGGTGCCAAGTAATTTTTTAAATGGATAGAAAAAAAAGCATGGTTTGTTTTTAGTTGCGAAAATCTAGTTCAGGGATTGACTATCCTGAATGTTGCCTAAATGAAATATCGGTATTGAATTAACTTGTGATAATAATTTCCTCTAACCACGTGACCTACAAAATCTTTATTTAGTGTTGAATAAACCTTTAAATAGGTAAATTTAGAATAAATTTGGAAGTGTAGTAACCTAGCTCCAGAGGGGGGCGGGGGGGGGGGGGGGGTCGGGGGGAGGGATTTATTTTGTCGCAGCTAAACTGTAAAGCTGTTTACCAAACGGTAAAATTGGTACCCGGTTGTTAAACAAATCGGCGGTTCGTATTCCGGTTCAGATGGGAATAAGGCCTTGGCCGAAACAAAACGCGTGAGTGGCTGTAAATGAATAACTGTATAAACTTACAAAAATCTTGATAATGTAAGTAGGTAATACCGAAAATCGCTGGTAAAGTTGTAAGTTTGCGTGCAATGTTCCAGAAGCATAATGTTCCTCAAGAGTGTAATGGTATATTCTAGTACCAATATGAGGATGCAGGAAAATATTATAGTACAAAGTTGTATTGGAAAATCTTTATAGGCTGCAAACCTTTAATAATGGCTTCAAATCACAAAGTTGTGTATAGTTGATAAATATTCAAATAATTAAGATGGGGTAAGTAGATAATGTTCGTAAGTGTAGTTTTAAAATGGCAACTCTTAAACATAAGTTTTAAGTAAATGAAACTGCAATGCAAGTAACTAAAGTATTTACTGTTCCCATGACAGGTTGTGGAAGGTCCTGGCAACAATCCAACTTGAAATGTTGAAATCGGTTGCTGACTTAAACAAGAAAGGTGCTTAATGTACACCAAAGTTAGAGGGCAAAAGTAAGTATATTTGTATATTTTAGTCTTATAGCTAGAAATCTGAAATATTTAGGTACAAATTATGTATTAAAGTTACGAAGGGGCCTGGAAATAACAAATAAAATAGTTGTAGGCTGGTATCTTGAAATTAGTGCCTTACAGGAATTTTGCTTAGAATAAATAGAATATTAATGTGGCATTAGCTCTTAGTGTTTAATTAAGGGTCTTTACAAGAAGTTGGTCATGAATTAAGTGTTAAGTAAACCAATTAAGATATAACTTTCAAAGTAGCTTTGTTCTTAATTGTTAGCCTAAAAAATTGTTGAATCTATATAAAAGTTTAAAACTTCTAAAGTTGATTTTCATATATGAAATAATAATCGGTTAAAGTTTTATTGAAAGTATAATGGTACAGAACTTGATCGAAGTACACACATAATGACTGGTAAATGTGCTTCAGCCTTGTTAAATTTAAGTTTAAATAAATATATTGCTTTTCAGAACATGGCTTGAGAAGTAGAACTTCATCCGTCAGTTGGAAGTTGATTCGTTGAATTACAGAATCAGGTGTGTGGTAATAAGTCTTATTTGAATAAGTTTGCATTAAAGTAAAATAACTGGTAGTTAAACAATCATTATGGCTGAAGATAATGTGAAATGGTTAAATGTAGATATTAATGAAAGTGTTCACTAGCCTGGAAATTCATGTATTTGATTAACAAGTACATTTATGTACAGACTAAAGTTCTAGTTTTTGTGAGTAGCCATATCTAAAATTATGGCTTGGTTAGCATTAAAGTAAATTTTTACTGCTACCAGAATATGTAAATATCTTAATTGCTTTGTATGAATGAGTTTTTGTACTCAATTTGTAACTTACTGTACAAGTTTTAAATTTAATTTAAGACATTTTAAGGTAATTTGGAAATATTTTTCAGGTTCTAATGAAGAAGAGTGGTATCAAAACTAAGGCTTCTGCTTTGCAAAAGGAAATCTACAAAGCTGGTGAGTATTTTGAACGTTTTAGCTATATAAATTAACGTACATTAATTCTTTTGTCTAGTCCATTTATAGATGTGTAACAATGTCCTACCGTTACACCCTACAGGGATGCAGTTTGTACTGATCCTACCCCATTTCATAGAAGGGGACCAGGCAGTCTTGCAGAGTTCCCTGTCTTGGCTTTTTCAGAGCCCTGCTCTACTACCCATCCAATAGATGGACTAGAAGTGCTTAGGTGTAGGGACCCTTAACAATGGCTTCATTGTTAATTCTCACAGGGCTTGTTTGCTGAATGGGTGGATACATCTACAACTTTAGTGCCTGCAATGCATTGTACAGTGCTTTCAATAAAGCATATGTACAATGTGGCGATGGCACTAAAGTGGTGGATGTACTTCACTCATTCAGGGAACAAGCTCTGAACGAAAATATGAGGAAGGGGTCAGCCTGGCTGAACCAATCTTAAAAGATTGGGAGTTAGGAATTTTTGGGGCTTATTGTTAGTCTTGTGTTAATAAAAGTAGTGTCCCTATTAATGTTTATTTTTTCTTTTACAGGTGATTGTCCTTTACTCTGGATTTGTCTTGGCCTTTGAAGTCTTCTGTGGTTGCCTCTAGGAACATTGGTCCACCACAACCTGAAATATATAGTACTTAAATACTGTACTATGTATAACTTTCAATAAATCTTTTAATGAAACTACTTTATATACTTTATCCTGAAGTTAGTAATTTAAAGCATGATTGAATCTAATGACTTACTGATGTATGAAACACATCTGAAGATAAATTGTCTGAAATATTTACTTTAAATTTCTAAGCAACATGCTAAAGTGAAGTCAAATGGATTTAACTTGTTAGTTAATGCATTTGACTTATTAGTTAAACTAAGTGCATGCAATATTGTGGGGAATTACATCGTATTGTCAACTACCAAATATGGTTAATGATTTGTCACTTAATTACTTCTAAAACTTGACTAAATTTAGTTACTGAGCATTGCATAACTGTTAGTGTTGACTTACTAACTTTTTTTAAAAATACTGAAGATTACAAAACATCTGTGCAACAGTGCCTTACTAAATGCCAGACATGGAACACCTCTGGTGTAGTATTCAGATATTAATAATAGGCTAGCTTGTATAAGAATATATGAAAGTAAAACGACTAAAGTAAATGAGATCAAACACTTTGTTATTATCTCAACTTGTCTAAGCCAAGACATTGGACATTTCCAGTCTTGTCATTACAACGTTGCTATACTTCGTAGGTACCTACATTCTGAATACACTACATTATTCATACTGAAGGCAAGATCCTATTACCACACAAATGTTTGAAGCTGATAAAGAGGATTATATACATAACTACGTGTAACAAGCACCATAAATAGGAAAAGCCTTAGAAAGACAAAAGCCCAATGTGTCTTGAATTCAATCAAATCTCTTAAATGAACTGCCAGCAAAAATTTCACATTCAATAATCTTGCTAGGTCAACACATTGCTTTGTTAAAAACAAAACTTGTTCAGATTTTTTGGGGAAATGCTAACCAACTATTCAAACAAGACTTCAGGTAGATGTGGAACACATGTACTTTGCTAAAGCTTTTTATAAGATACCATATTAAAGACTAGTAAGGAAATAACAGGTGCATGGAGTAAATAGTAGAAAGGATAAAAAGAATGGGTTAAAATAAAGATTTCAGTGTCCTAAACATAGACTGGAAAATGCAGCAAGTGGCATACCATGAGGGTCTAACCCTTGTCATATACATCAATGACAAATCAAAATATTACAACTGAACATTTGAACTAGGGAAAATGCAGATCAAGCCATGCAACTTACAACAAGGAAAAAATAACTACACACAACTTTCACCAAACTTCCACAAACCACCCCTCGCTCCGATTGGCTGAGCACCTGAGCCACCGCTACTCGCCCCTCTCGTTGTGTGAGCCTAAAGCATGTTTGGTTGCACTCTAAAAGTTCCCGGATGTGTCACCGCCCGCCATTTTGTTTTTCAATCAACCACGATTTACCCCTTTACAGCCAAATATTACACAAAATTATATTTAAGGCTTGTCCATTCTTAACTTAAATCACTGTTTTGCCCATCTGCGATCTTTCTAGGTGGGTCAAAATGACTCCTGAGCCCGTAAAGGACTGTTATTATATGGTGATCATAACAATACACATAAATTCACATGATATACATCAAAGAGAAAATTCACTGGGGCTGTGAACCCGTACCCAAGGCACTATCAGCTGCAGACTGTACTACAGTACCATTGCTGACTTTGTACAAGTCTTACAACCGGATTTCTCCTGAAATCACAGTTCTTGAAGCCCCTCCTGGAGCCACTTGAAGTTTTACGTAAGACCTACAAGCACTCGGGTGAAGGGTGAAGTCCTTCAACACCATACGCCCCAACTTCAGATACACACAAAAAATCACGTTAGTGTCAATTTTTGTGTATCTGAAGTTGGGGCATACGGTGTTGCTTCACCCTTCACTTTACCCTTCACCCGAGTGCTTCGGTGGTTTTACGTAATACTTGGACTGGCTTCAGGAGGGGCCTCCAGACTTCCTGTAGCTTCAGGAGTAATCTGGTTGTAAGACTTTTACCATCAGTGGTGGTAGAGTATGGAGTTGGCAATGCCTTTGTCACAGGTTCGCTTCACTTCACAATCCCATAGATTTTCTCATACATTTCAATGTATGAAACAATTTCATTTGAAACATTCCAAACCAAAGTCATCAAACCATCAAATGTGCGGGATAATCATAGGGCGCTATATATCACTAAAGTCGCCAATACGAGAACAAAAATGCATAAGGCAGACGATATCGAAGGTATTCGATTCACCAAGAATTCTATAGAGGGACAAGTGACCGTGAGGGACACTCAGGAAGCAAGACATGCACGTCCTGGAAGTCACGACATTAAACAAGGATATGCACAACCGTAAGAGGGACAATGCACTTTGGACAATAAGGAGCAGGGCAGTGCTTCGTTAGGTGCCCATGAGTTAAACGTGTATGGGTAATACATAACCTAGCCAGAGCCGTTTCCCACCGCCGGTTACAGTGGTAGGAGGAAGGCCACAGGGACACACTACTCTTAAGAGTACACAGTTTGTTACCAGTAACAGAACACCAACAACCCTGCCAATGGGCAACGATGGAGGAATGATTAACTGGGTAAAAGTCGGAATAATGAATACCTTTACGGGAGATGGAACAGGTGCGAGTAACTTCCTTAGCAGCAGCATCCGCATGCTTATTTAAGGACACACCAATATGGCTGGGAATCCAGCAAAACTCCACTGTCTTAAATCGACTGGAGATAAGAAACAGCCAATGTTAAATTTCGACTACCAAAGGTTGGACTGGATTAAAGGAATCCACAGCCATGAGAGCACTGCGAAAGTCTACTAAAACAACAAAGGACTGACAGCGAGAAAGCAGTTGACAAAGAGCATAGACAATAGCATAAAGTTCTCCCCGTGAAGATGCTAGTCTCTGGAGGCAGGTGACACATAAAGGTGTAGTCAAGAAAAACAACAGCAGAGTAGCCTACACAGCCTGCACACTTAGACCCATCGGTGAAGACGGAAATGGAGCGGGAGTGCGAACAAAAGTGTTCAAGGAAAAGGCGGTTCAGAACTGTAGGAGAGGTAAAAACTTTACTCGTGTAGGTCAAGGTTTTACAACATTTAGGAAGGGGAACCTTCTACTGGGGCAAAGACGGAATGACACCAAGGGAAATATAGGTAACACGAACTGAAAAAGCATTTTGTAAGCGAGACAACCGTACAGAAACACGTAGGTGAAGGGGAACAGGAACCACGGGCGAGGTAAAGGTCAAGGCACGACATAAGCGAGAGCGAGGGTGGTGTTATGGACCGTGCAAGGTAGTGAAGGCAGTAGCGATCACGGCGATCCTGTAGAGACAAGACGCCAGTTTCAATATACAGGTTTAGGGTACGAGTCGAACGAAAGCCACCAGAGCTGATGTATAACCCAGTATGGTGCAGAGCATCCAGACGGCGAAGAGTAGGAGAAGCAGACGACTAAGTAGGGGCCATAATCAGGGGCCATAATCGAGTTTAGACAGAATGAGAAAAGAATGTCAAGAGAGGAGCGTGCGCCTATCAATACTCCAAGAAGTTTGGGACAAGACCTTAAGTAAGTTAAGGGCCTTAGAACTCGGAGATAAGAGATATGGGGCGACAGAGAAAAACGAGCGTCAAAGATTAGCTCCAAAAGTGTAGCAGAATCTTTGTATAAAAGGTGTTGACCGTAAAGCGACAGTGGGGGACGAAGAACGACCTGCTTCCAAGTAAAAGTCATAGCACAAGTTATAGTTGTAAAGAACTTGAAGCCATGATGGATGGCCCAAGACGACTCGGCATCATTCGCATGTTGAAGCCGCCGTTGAAGGAAAGGCGATTCATCACCTTGACAGCAAAGGGTATGATCATCGTCATAGAGAACCGAGAAGATGCCAGAAGGGAGCAAAAAAGACCACTGAGGGCAACCAGGAAAAGAGTAGTGCTCAGAACACTACCTTGGGGTACACCTTCGTATTGCCGAAAAGAGGCAGAGTGAGTGGTACCAAGCCTCACTCTAAGGGAACGACGAGAGAGGAAGCTTCGGAGGAAGAGAGGGAGATGACCACGAAGGCCAAAAGAACGAAGTTGGGACAGAATATGCAATCTCCAGGTGGTGCCGTATACTTTTTCCAGGTCAAAAAGGACAATAACAACGGAGGTCTTAGCAGCAAAAGTAGTACGAATATAAACCGCCACATTCACCAGGACATCAGTCGTGCTGCGGCACTTGCGAAAACCACACTGAGAAGAGGAGAGGTGGTGATAGTGTTCCAAGAACCACATCAGACGGACATTGACCATACGTTCAAAGAGTTTGCAGATGCAACTCGCGAGGGCAATGGGGCAGAAGTTCTTAGGGGATGTCAATAGAGACCCGGGTTTCCGAATAGGGAGAACAACCGCATCGAGCCAGTCCTCAGGGACTGACAACGACTCCCAGATACGGTTATACAGATTCAGTAAATACTGAGAAGCGCGTGGAGGGAGATGGCGAAGCATCTCATAATGTCATCTACGCCTGCTGCCGTAGAACCGCAGAGGGCCAGAGCAGACTGAAGTTCGGAGAGAGAGAGAGAGAGAGAGAGAGAGAGAGAGAGAGAGAGAGAGAGAGAAGGCATTGTTATAGGGGAAAGCCAGAAATGAGTGCGGAAATATAAGGGGTGAGATTCAAGAATGGGCTTACGAAGGCAGGAAGGATTGAGGAAAATGAGAACCGGAGCTAACAGTCGAAAGGTGGGAACCCAGTTCGGTCACGAACGTCAATGTATCCACCACAAGAGTACCACGGAGGTGAAGGACTGGCGAGATATCTGGAACAAACTTACCCGCAATCTTACAGATGTTCTTCCAGATTTGCAGCAGAGGAGTATCGGACGTAATGGGGGAACATAAGATTTCCAACTCTCACGTTTAACTGTATGGATGGCCCTATGGGCCACCGCACTTGCCTTCACTCGCCTTCTAAAACAAAATAAAAGAATCAGCCGTCTGCCGGCGGTGGTGTTTCTTCCAGGCTGCACG